GCACCTGCCATAGTGCCCTTCACATAGTAAAGTGGAACAAACAATAAATGTTTGTTGATTGGATTTGGATTGTTGAGTGGCTTGATTCATCCTCTGGTGTCTAGCCCTCTGCTGAGTAGGTTCTCCCAACTCAAATTGGCTATTCCTTGTATAAATGTACCCATATTTAAAGACTTTGAGAGTATCGATCATTCTTGGCAGTGATCAGGGAATGGTCTAGGACTAGGTCTTTGGAGCAGAGTAATTCATAGTAAAAGCTGAATCACTTGATGTCTTATATGATGCCGATAAAAAATATTTTCATTCCCTCTAAAGAAAAGAACATGTTATATGCTCAGTACAACCTATAATTCTTTTAAAATTGCACATACTTTTTTAGAATCAGCACTGAAAGTTGCTGTAATCATGGGTTATCTCTACATGAGGAAAGCATTAGGTATTATTTGAATAATCATGAGTTAGAGGCTTCATTTTCATTTCTGACGACAGATACAGGCTTCTGGAAGGCACAAACTTAGACAACTCTCCTGTGTGTATGCCGTTATTTTTATTTGTGAGGGTTAACTAGATGGTGTAGTGGATAGAGTGCTGGGCCCAGAGTTAGGAAGCCCTGAGTTCAAATTTAGCATCAGACATTTAGTAACCATGTGATCCTTGACAAGTCATTTAAACTATTCCTCAGTTTCCACAACTATAAAAAGAAGATGATAATACCATTTACCTCTCAGGGTTGTTGTAAGAATTAAATGAGATATTATCTGTAAAATACTTAGCCCAGTGGCTGGCATAGATTGGGATCTAATAAATATTTCTCTCCTTTAACTTTTCCTTTCCTTTCCTTTCCTTTTCTCTCCTCTCCTCTCCTTTCCTCTCCTCTCCTCTCCTTTCCCTTCTTCCTTCCCTTCTTCCTCCCCTCCTCTCTCCTCTTCCTTCTCTTCCTCCTCCTCCTCATGAATTTTGTTCAAGGCCTCCATTTTGGGAATGAGCCCAGGCTGGCCATAATTTATTCCTCTTTTGGCTATACTTCTGACTTTATAGTCTTTGCCGCCTTGATGCCCTCCTTCTACTTTTTAGCTTCTTTTTATGTGTTGTCTTTCCATATTAGAATATAAGCCCCTTGAGGGCAGGAATTGTCTTTCTTTTTGTTTGAATTTCCCTTAGCACAGTCCTTGGCACATAGTAAGTGCTTAATAAATGCTTATTGGCTGGTTGTTGCCTGCCTTAGGTGCTGATTTAATTAAACTGTCTAACTATAGTGAACTTAAATTGTATTACTAGATACTGTATTTCTTTTTAAATACACAACCCACACGATTTAATGCTATAACACCTAGATACCCTTCTTTCTAATCAGCCAGTATGACTCTTACTCCTTCCCTATTTTTCCCTTTATGACTTTAAAGGGAGGATCTCTTGTCTCTTTTCTTTTGGAGTTTATTTTGAAGTTTAATTTCCCATTCTCAGCTTCTTTCACAACTGCAAATTATCACTACTATCTCAGTCTCTCTCTTGCTCAACTACCTGACAAAGTAGTGTCAAGGGAAATTGAAAGACAGACTCTTCCCTCCAGCATCCCTTTCTTACAATTCTTCTTTTCTCTTTGCCATGTGGCAGAAGAAAAGGAAAGAGATTAAGTTTACACAGTGTGACTTTCCTAAAAACCAGTGTGAAAACCCATAATTGACATTTTTTTTCCAATCAGAAGCCAATTATATTTCATCCTCTTCTTATGAGATGGAAAAAAACTCCCTCTCCCCAGTAGGTTGTAGAATAGGCCACAAGGAAAATGTGTAAGATTTAGAACTGCAAAGGACCTCAGAGACCCTCTGGTCCAATCCTATCTATTTTTTGGCTGAAAACTCTTTCTAGAGATGCATATCAACTTTTCCAAGGTCACAAAGTAAGCAGCAAAGATGACATTTGAACCCAGACCCTCTGGTTTGTCTCTAGGTGTTGTCTGAAATTTGTATGTAAAGGAGAGTTTTAATATATTTCAGCTGATTTCCTTAACAATTGTTCAAAGAGAGGGCTAAATAGTTAACTAGTATTTGTTAAATTCTTGCACCTATCAGGTACTGTGCTAAGTAGAGAGGATACTAAGAAAGGCAAATACAGTCTCTACCCTCAGGGATTTCACATTTTAATTGGGGGAGAGAACATAGTAGGTAATTACAGTAGGTAAGTACAAGATCCTCCATTCTGATGAAAACACTTTCTCTGGAAAAGAAAATATATTTTTTAAAGTGTCTTCTTTGGGAAGACATGATGGTTTTTGGTGGAGTTGTTTTGGGTGGGCTCTCAAGAAAAAGTATTTCCCTGTGTCACTCAATGATGGTCGCTGGATCTGGTAATTAGGAGTTCATTGTAAGACTGGAAAGATGGGTTTTAGTAGAGTGGGTGGGATGAAAGGGTTGATTTGGAGTTGAGGAGAGAGTGAATGGCGAGGAATTGTAGTCATCAGATGTGGAAAAATTTTCCAAGAAGTTTGTCAGTAAAGGGACTGTATGATATGAGCCAAGTTGGGGAGACCTGAGCATATTTGTGATTAGATGGGAAGTAGGAGATAAGAGGTCTGACTGCTAGAATTAGGTCCTGCAGATGGCAAGAGGAGACAGGGTCAAGGGCACAGGAACTCTGAATTGAATAAAGAAATTCAGTCGTACTCTATTAAACATACATTAAGCACCCACTGTTAATCAAAGTGTCAAGTTGGATGATGGTGACACCGGAGCAAAAATGGAACAAACTCTGTCTTCAAAGAGTTTATGTGGTTTTATTTATTTATATTTATTTATTTTATCATAAATCTAAAGTATATCTAAAATAAGTTAAATTCGGGGCAGCTAAGTGGCAAAATGGATAGAGCTTGCAGCCAGGAGGACCTGAGTTCAGATCCGACTTCAGACACTTGACACTGGACTGTGTGACCCTGAGCATGTCACTTAACCCCGATTGCCTCACCAAAAAAAAAAAAAAGCCTAAAATAAAATAAAATAAATTAAATTGGGAAGGAGGGTTAGTAAGTAGATTAGGAAAATCTCCCCATAGGAGACACTAGGCAACTGTTGCAGAATTTTTAATTGAGAGGAGTGGTGACAAGGTTGTATCTGTGTTTTAGGAATATTAATTTGGCAGCTACATGGAGGATAGATTGGCAAATGGAAAAGCTAGAAGCAGGTAGACTAATTAGAATACTGTTGTCGTAGTCTAAGTGAGAGATGTCTCTTGTTCTGTGATGAGAGAGACACAGAAGAAAGTGAGTGATGATGCTGAGAAATTTTGAAGAGTAAAGGAGGGGAAAGAAGTGGACTTCTTTTATGTCGATTTTAATTGTCTCAGTAAGTAGGAGACCAAGTCATTTGCTGCAAGCTTGGGGTGGGTGAGAGGGAGGCAGTTTTGGGGAGATCTTATTGAAAATTTAAATAGGAAGAAAAGGTCCAACAATGATTATGGAATCAGAGATAGGAAATCAATTCATTTTTAAATAAATAGTTTGTGAGCACTTAGAAAAAGAAGCATTGATTGAAAGGCACCCCCATCAGTTTCTTAAGATCAAATTATGTTCCTAATTTTGACAGCTATTAGATCAGAAGAATACTAAAGACATCATCATGCATCTGGATTCAGTAAGGCATTTGAAAAAAGCAATTCTCATGATATCCTTGTGGACAAGATAGAAAGAGGATGACTTCATGACATTAGGAAGATTCATGACTGGTTGCATTAATGGCTAGTTGTATCCTATAGAAAAAACGCCAGGTTTGGATTGAGAGAGGACATAAATTCAAATCCTAGCTTTCTTAATTACTGTTAGTATGATCTTGGACAAATCACCTAACCTTTCAGGGCTGCCGGTTCCATATCTGCAAAATGAGAAAGTTATGCTATGTCATGGCTCAAGTTCCATCCAGTTCTGGGTTTAAGATCCAGAAAAAATATGGTATGGATGGATGTGGGGGAATGAATTGAGAGACAGAGAATCTCATAGCTCTGTCACTTACCAATTACGTGACTTTTAGTGGTCACTTGAATTCTCTGTGCTTCAGTCCAAACACAAAGGGTGGACTTTCTGACCACTTAGTTCCCTTCAACCCCTAAATCTATGAACCTAGGATTCTAATAACGGAATCTAACAAAGTTTTGGTTAAGAGTACCTGGTTCATAGTAAGCACTTAATAAATGTTTGTTGATTGATTGAAAAATGAACTGGTCCATATTTAGACCACTATATTCAGTTCAGGGGGAATATTGATAAACTAGAAGTAATCAAGATCATGTTGCTATTATGGTGATACTCCACCAGCAGTGCACGAATATACCTATTTTCCCACAACTCCTCCAAAGTTAGTTATTCTCTCTCTCTTTCTCTCTCTCTCTCTGTCAGCTTTACCAGACTTTTGAGGTGTAAACTCAGAGTTGCTTTAATTTGCATTCTCCTATTAGTGCTTTGGAACATTTTAAATTTATAAAGAAACCAGAGGGACAAGGAAAAAAATTTTCAGATCTATGGATGAGGATAGAATTCATGACAAAACAAAGAAGAAAGAAGACCAAGGAGATAAAATGGACAATTTTGATTACATAAAATTAAAAAGTTTGCACAAACAAATCCAAAACAGTTAAGATTAGAAAGGAGAGAGGTGACTGGGAGAAAAAAAAATCTTTGTAGCAAGTTTCTCTGATAAAGGTTCATTTTACAAGTGACATAAGAACTGATTCAAAATTAAAAGCATAAGAGCTATTCCCCAATTGATAAATGGTAGGAATATGAACAAACTGTTCTTCTGATTTGTTTATAATGTCATCCAGGTCAAGTATACATTTGGAATTTATCTTGGTATCAAGTGAGATATTGATGTAAACCTAATTTCTACTGTTAACTAAAAAAAATCAATCAAACAAAAAAGAACCAAAACTATTTCATTGGCTTCCTTTGTAATCCTGTGCATTTTATCATAAGTTTTTAAAAATATTTTTTTTTTTGAGATGGGGCTTATGAGTTTCACCAGAATGGCAAAGAGGTTCACATGCAAACAAGGTTAAGAACTCCTGCTCTAAGACCATAAGTTATAGCAGGTTTCTGTATGCCAGAAGAGGGAGTTTGCTTGTCAGAGAAATCATTGGTCCTAGATGGAAAAGTGATCACCTATCTTTCCCCACTATGCACTTAACTATAACCATTTTCTTTTTTTTTTGTTTTTTTTTGGTGAGGCAATTGGGGTTAAGTGACTTGCACAGAGTCAAACAGCTAGTGAGTGTTATGTGCCTGAGGCCGGATTTGAACTCAAGTTCTCCTGAATCCAGGGCCAGTGCTCTATCCATTGCACTGCCTAGCTGCCCCTAACTATAACCTATTTTCAAGCCAATCGATTTCTCTATTTAATAAGCTGTCACAAGCAGTACTGTTTTGCCTCCTGAAATACCCCGTTGGTAATCTGTATAGCATAACAGCTGTTATTTAATGTTCTCGTGGTGGTCAATAACGTTGTTAAAAATGTTTTAATATTTGGATTTAATATTTGGTGAGCCTTAGCTATAAAGGTGTTTTATTCTGAAATAAGTTGAAGCATATTATGGTAGTTTCCTAAGAATTATCTTTGCCTTTTTTTAAACTGCAGTTTCAAAATTGTATTAAAATGCAAAATCACATATATGTATGTATATATATATGTATATATGCACATATATATATATATTTTATAGGAAACATGAAATTTAGGAAAAAAGTGAATTATGACAGATTTATAAATATTTTCTGGTTCTTTTTTTTTTCTAACCATAGAATGCAATGAAATCCACTCTGAAGAAGTTAAAAAGGCAAAAGCTGTTGAAATGATATTCACTCTATATCCTCCCGAAGGTGCCCACGTGAGTCATTTTTGGGGCCTAAAGTCAACTTGGATAAGACCTATAGTACATGGAGAAGAAGCATATAAGTATTTAGGTGAGGCATTGGACTTTATCATTTCTTTTTGTATTAAAATTGTTAATGGATTTTTATCTTTTAAGTTTCTGAGAAATGTAGTTATTTATTTATTATCATACAATAGCTTTTAGCTTGGGGGGAGAAGGTTGCAATGATTAGAGAGCTGAACATGGAGTTAGAAATACCTGAATTCAAATCCAGTCTCAGCACTCTATAAGCACCAGCTATTTTTATCATCAGTGCCAGCTATTATTATTCCGTGGGCAGTGAGTTGGTACCATGGGTAGAGTGGTAGACCTGGAGCCAGAAATTCGTCTTTGTGAGTTCAAATCTGGCTGTGTGACCCTGAATAAGTCACCTAACTGTGTTTGCCTCAGTTTCCTCATCTGTAAAATGAGCTGGAGAAGGAAATGGCAAAATACTCCAGTATCTCTGCCAAGAAAACTCCAAATGGGGTCATGAAGAGTCAGCCACAACCGAAAAAAAAAAACAAAAACTACTCAACAATATAATTATTCTAAGCCTTGTAGTCCTTCTCACACTGGCTGCTAAGGGTTGAGGAAACAGGTTTTAGATTGAGACAATTCCGTCTTTATCAAACCAAATCACTGGCTACACACAGACACCTAAGGTGTCATATCATGGGCTGACCTAGGATAAGAGTCACAAGTGGAGGTTTTGCCAAAGGGAAGGAGGAAAGAATGGGAAATGGCTGGGCTTGGTCTCTGCAAATGTTCATGGAAACATGAGAGTAACTGAAAACATCTCTGCATCTTGTAACTTCTTAATTTTATTGGTTTTTGTATCCTTCCTTCATGTTTCCCTTAGTGTTTTACAGTATGTTAGAAAGGTGTATGTGGGCATAGGTTCCTGCTCGTGCTTTTTTCAGGGAGAAGGAGGAAGTGTTGTATGTTATCTTTCATGGGCTGGGTTGGGATTGCAGCTGTCCTGTTCGGGGGAGAAGTTGGTGCCTGGAGGACAGAAGGGGGAAGCAGTGAGGCAAGTCAGGTCTTGGCAGGTAGATGAAGAAGGGCATCATTTGTGTGGGGTCACAGTATGATCATGATTCCCTTGGCTTTGGCTCCACAAGGGCTATGATTCTATGTCTTCAAATACATGCATGTTCTGTGCTTTTACTTAGCATTTTTTAAATGTGATGTAGATTTGCAATTTTTTTTAATGTGCCTTTGTCATGTACTTTCATGGCTAGGAGATAGAATTGAGAAAAAAATATTCATTATAACTCTCTGTACTCAATATGTTGGGCCAGTGTTGGTTTTCACATTGGGATAATTTTCAGGAGGGAGCTTAATAAACCTTAAAGATGGAGATATGCTCCAGTGGACTGCTTGTGTATGTACGTATAGAAATTAATAAATGTATGGTGTAAAAGGTTATAAGTGAAAAGCATAGACTCCCAGAGGTGGAAGGGACCTTAGTGGTAATCTGGTCTAATCTCCCACCCAATGCAGTAATCCTCTCCACTCCTACTCCATCCATGATAAATGCTGCAATCTGTCCTCCACAAAGCTGCCAGAACATTTTTCTTAATGAGTAGGTGGTCTGATCAGGTCATCTTCTTACTCAGTCAACTCCAGTGCCTCCCTATTACTTCTAGGATCAAATATAAACTTCTTTTTGGCATTTCAAGCTCTTTATAATTAGGCCTGCTTTCTTATACATTACTCTCCTCTGCCCCATGTAAAGTTCAGTCATACCAGCCTACACAATGCACCCTCTCTATGATTTAGTATTGGCTGTTTTTGATATCTGGAATGCTTACCATTCTCATTCATTTATCATAGAATTCATGGCTTCCCTCAAAACTCAATTCCAGGGTGGCGCAGTGGAGAGAGCACCGGCCCTAAAGTCAAGAGGACCTGAGTTCAAATCAGGCCTCAGACCAAACACTTGACATTTACTAACTGTGTGACCCTAGGCAAGTCACTTAACCCCAATTGCCTTAAAAACAAAAAACAACAACAAAAAAAACCTCAATTCCAGTGTCACCTACAGAAAGCCTTTTCCTATCCCCGCACCTACTAATGCTTCTCCTTCTAAAGTTATCTTCTGACTATTCTTTATGTATTTTTTATCTATCTATTTCTAGTTATGCTGCATCCCTCTTTAGAATGTAAGCTCCATGAGGTCAGGGACTATTCTTACTTTTTCTTTGTATCTCTGGTGATTAGCACAATGCATAGAAGTATTAGTGCCTAATAAATACCTGATTGCTTAAATTAGTTATGAGGTCCATATGTCATAAGATAGCTCATTTCATTGTTGTACATTATTACAAAATGTTACATGTTTTTGATAAGATGCCACCTTAGATTGAGCTGAAATCTGTTTATTTATTTAAATTTTAGGTTCTTTTTTCTTTTAAAGCTCAATTATTATTTGTTTTTCATATTAATTTCTTTTTAAATTTCAAGTTCCAAATTCTTTCCCTCTCTTCAACACCTCCACCCACCCATTGAGAAGGCAAACAATATGATATGCATTTTATATATGGTCATGTAAAACATATGTCCATATTAGCCATGTTGCAAAAAAAAAAAAAGAAAAAGAAAGTTAAAAAAAAAGCATGTTTCAATCTGCACTCAGACTTCATCAGTTCTCTCTCAGGAGGTGGATAGTATTTTTCATGCTGAGTCCTTTGGAATCATCTTGGATCATTGCATTGATCAGAGGTAGCTAAGTCTTTCATAGTTGATCATCATGAAATCTGTTTACCCAACTGGCCTTAGTTCTGTTCTCTCTCATTATAAAGATTATATCTAATCCTTCTGCTTGTATGATGGTTTGTCAAATTCTTTGTGGCTTTTCTGGACAAGAGCATTAGAGACTTGGATTCTAGTCTGTCCTCTATCATTATCTATCTATGTGACCTTGAACAAGTCATCTCCCCTAAAAATAGGATTGTTGATATCCAACCTACCAGAAAGCAGAAGATTGGCTCAATTGTCCCTTGAATCCTTGTCCTACTTTTTTTCTCCCTAATGGTTTTCTTTTAGCACTGTTTTCTCTATACTCTAGAGTATGAAAAAGATCTCTTGGGCTCCTGTCCATTTCCCAAAGTCCAGGATGCCTAGGTTTACAGCTTTAGAAGTTGAAGTGACCTTAGAGGTCACCTAGTCTATCCCCCCTCTTTTTATAGTGGAAAAAAAAGCCCTGAGGACTAGACAAGATTTACCCAAGATCTTATACAGAATAAATAAACTCCTTTGTGCCATCACCATAAATCATTTTAAGAGATGAAATGCCAAAACAGAACAAAACAAAAAAACCCCTAAGGGAAGTGTTCAATAGTACCAGGAGATTAAAATCCTTAATAAAAATCCACAATTATATGGATGATTTAAGGTCTGCAATGTACTTTCCTAACAACTACCCTGGGAGATAGGTAGCATGAGCATTATTAACCTCATTTTACACATCAGGAAACAGACTCTGGGAAATGGTAGCTTGCCCAGAATCACATGTTTAGGAATCATTTGATGGAGGATTCAAATCCAGGTCTCCTGACTATGTCCTATGCTGTGCTGTCCCTCAGCTCTTTAGAGTTGGTGAAGTGACCAAGCTTGTAAAATTTACTTTGTAAATCAGCTTTGTAGTATGCATTCTTTCTAACCTTCAGAAGCAAGGTATTAGACGTGTTATTTCAAAGGGCAGTGGAGTCATCCTGAAATATCAAAGTTTGGACCAGGTGTTTTGTTGCAGTATTTTGATCTGGAAATCAATCAGTGAGACCATGTTTATCTGATGTTTGCTCTATGGTCCTCAGCATTCCTTGGCCCTCATAAAAAGGCCTCAGTTACTTGGCCCAGTGAAGGATTCAGAATTCAATTCAATAAACATTTATTAAGTACCTAGTAGGTGCTTAATAAATGCTGAGGATTCAAAACAAAAGAAACTCTTCCTCTCCTCATGAAGCTTACATTTTACCTGAAAGATAGAGCCTTTAGACAAACATATACAGTTTAATTTTGAGAAGAAGAGAGCACCCGCAACTAGGAAATCAGGGCAACCTGAAAGATGGCATCTGAGTTTGAACCCTGAAACATCCTGTAGCTTCTAAGAGGCTGAAGTCAGCAAGGAATATAATCCTGGTGTGCAAGGCAGCCTTTACAAAAGCATGGCGGGGGGGAGTGATTCAGGCCTGCTTGGCTGAAAAACACAAGGTGTGAAGTAGGGGATTATATCAAACACTGCTTCTGCCTTCAAAGAGCTCTAAAATTTATCTGAGAAGGGGATTAAAAGGCCATTAATCAATGACATGATATAGTTCTGACACAGTACATTAGAAATTCAGGAATGGGACGGCTCACTCTGGACTGAAGGCAACAGGGAAGGCCTAATGGTACATATATGTGATTTAGGTAAGTAGAAGAGAGTTGACTAGGTTTTTCTTGGGGGGAAATAATTCAAGTCATCAATAAGCATTTTGAGAAATGATTATTAATAACCAATGATTTGGGAAGTTCCAGATTTCCCCCCTTTTTCTAAAGTCTTGACTTCATAAGTTCAATCTCCTGAAGGACATTACTGATAATGACATTGGATACCATTGTGCTCTACTCAGGTTTGAATGGGGATAAATTCTTTAAATAGATTGCCTAAGGCTGGGGGTAACTTAGAAGTAAATGACATAACCAAAGTTCATTTGAATAGGTTCAGCCCCTCATTGTAATATTCATTCATTAATTGTCAGCCAATCAGAGTTGATTGCCACCCTTGGGAATACCCCTTTTCCAATGGATATATAAGCTGTGACCCTGTCACCTGTCTTTGGTCTGAGACAGACGAACAAATGACCATCCTTTTGTTAAAATGCTGGCATTATTAATAGAGTGATGAAATTACTCAGAAACGATGTCTCTTGAACTTTTTAAATGCCACAGTATTTCAAAAGTACCTACTGTGTGCCTACATTATGCTAATCACTGGAGTTACAAACAAAAGACAACCTCTCAAACCCATTAAGTTAGGAATAAAAATAGCATGTGTCCAATTA